ATGGGGGGGTGGCACCTACCGACTTGTTCCTGAGTTACTGTCACTGTGGGGAGGGAGGAGATCTTCTCCTTGTCAGCAGGAGGGGGACCAGTGTTCTCCAGCTGCCCCAGGAGCTGTGGAGAGGGAAACAGGATGAGGAGGAGGGATCTGCCTTGGAATCAACACATCAACAGGAGCATCGGTCCCTTCTGCTTATCATGGAATGGGTCGAAGGGACCTTAAAGCTCCTCCAGGTCCAACCAGGGCCACCACCCACTGGGCCACGTTGCTCCAAGCTCCATCCAACCTGGCCTGGACCACTTGTGGCCCAGGCTCCTGCGGGTCTGCACTTGGGCTGAGCTCTTTTCCCAGTGTTACAGCTCCATGACAGGAATTTCATGCTCTGACCCAAATTCACCCAACAACAGCTTCAAGCATGGTCAGGGAAGGTGCAGAGAAGCCTCATTGAGCTTTGGAAGCCACATGAAAGCCTGGGATGGGCAGAGCTGCTGCTCCAGATCCCATGGGAAGCTATGGAGCCTGTGCTGGGCTGTAGGGTGGGAGGAAGGCGCCAGCCCCCAGCAGCCATGTGGGATGCAGCCTCCTTTTGGGAAGCAGGGAGAGTGGGAAAGCCAGGGGCTCCTTGGGAAGGGCACCAGATGGATTCAGCACGACACCAGCAGCCAAATTAGCTCCTGGTGAAGCATCCATCTGGGATGCCAGGGATGGAGGCTGAACACCCCCAATGCAGCAAGTGGAAGGTGTTCCATGGCTTTAGATGAACTTGAAGCTCTCTTCCAACCCAACCCATCCCATGCTGATGCTATGAATCCTCAAAGGAGGCAGCCAAAGCTTCCAGGAAGCAGGACAGGGCTCATCCCTCTATGAACCACAGCAGGAACCAGCTCTTGGGCTGAGATCCTGTATCTCCAGAGGAACAAGGTCTGAGGCCCCTGGAGAGGCAGGACACAAGCAGCCACCCCCCCACCAGCAAAAGGTCCCATCTCAAAGCCCAGCACACAAGGAGGGTCTTACCTGGGTGACGATGGCATCAAGGCCACTCTGTCCCCAGGCATAGTCCCCGGGGTTGGAATGCAGCATCCCGCTCCTGCGGACAGGAGCAGAGGGTCAAAGGAGCCCTTTCCCTATCCCAAAGAACCTCTGGGCTGCGCACAACCCTCCCCACTGGGAAAGCAGAGCTCCCCAGCACCGGGCAACTGGTTTGGACTGGTCTGGACTGGTGTGAGCAAAGCCACATGTGCTACTCACCAGGAGAAAGGGTGTTGGGAGCCAGGAAGTGCTGAGTTTGCAAAGAAGCCTGCAAAGATCTGCTGGATTATGCTGGAGCGGGAGCGACGGCAAGAGCAGACAAGGAACAAGGTGAGCATCAACCCTAGGGCAGCAACAGCCCAGCAGAACCCCCCCAAAATCCTGCACAACACAAGCCCAAGGCAGGATGAGCACAAGGGCAGGAGGGATGAGAGCTCAACCCAGCATTCCCAGTAGCTCTAGAACAGGCAAAACCCCCCTTTCCCTATGCACAGCTCTGATTCCAGCTGAGGGGAATGAAGGCAGAGCATGTGATGGGCAAACCTCTGGTCACCCACAGGAGCCAGGACCCCATTTTCTCTACCCAAATCCAACATTTCCTCCTCCAAATCCCACCTTTTTCCAGTGATGGGACAGGGAGGTGCTTCCTGAGGCACTCACCCCTCGATAGCAGGAGACCTGTCGGGGCGGGAGCTGCCCCGGGCCCGGTACCTCCGTGTCATGGGCAGCCGGGGGGGGCGGCTGGGGCCCCAGAGGTCAGCATGGGCTTGGTGGCCCCTCTCGGTGTCCCTGTTGTCCTGCTCCAGGGAGCTGCTGCTCAGGAAGGGTCGGAAGTCTGGGAAGAACATCGTGTGGTCCAAGTGGTCCCAAAGCTGGAGGAGGGAAGAGAAGGGGGAAGCCACATGAAGCACATCCCACGGAGCTGCGCTGCCAAGGCGGAGGTTGGGAAGTCCAACTCGCCAGCAGCATTTCAGCACATTCCCATGGTTTCCATGGCTCCCAAGGGAAAAAAGCTTGGCTAAAGTGCTTAATTATAGCCCAGCTCATCAGCTGAGCCACCCCCAGGAAGCCCAACACAGCAGCTCTTCCGTGCAACAGCACCCATCCTGGGAGCCACCCGGGGCTCTCTGTGCCTTAGGCGGGCCTAAAACCCACTAGGGGGTTATTCCTTCCATCATTCCCTTGGATCTAGCTCCCATGGATACAAGCAGGGGGTTTCTAAAGTGGGTTTATGGTAGCATCAGAACGAGCAACCAAGGAGCACTGAACAAGAAACATAGGAGCACGAGTGCAGAAGGGATAGCAAAGGAGCAGCCTTGGACTGAGGGTGGGAATTCGATGCTAACACAAGGGACAGCAAAGGAGCAGCCTTGGACTGAGAGTGGGAATTTGATGCTAACCCAAGGGACAGCAAAGGAGAAGCCATGGACTGAGGGTGGGAATTTGATGCTAATCCAAGGGCTGTTCTCCTCTTAACCTGGAGCAGACCCTCTCTGGGGGCTTGGGAATGGGGTAGGAAAAGAGGCTTCCACCCCTCGCAGCTCCTGCTCTATGCCACAACACATGGAGCTGGTTGGGATGCTGTAGATGGTACAACTCAGAGTGGCAGCAAGCAGGAGGAACACTTCCACATATCCCAACATATCCCAGGACGGGGTGGAAAGGAGGAGCAGGAGAGCAGCGCTCACCTCTGCAAACTGTGTGGCCGGGCTGTCATCGATGCCGCTGCCATCGAGAAAGCTGGAGGAGAAAGAGGAGAAGGAAAGGAGGTGACACTGCCAAAGCCACATCCCATTCCAGGCTGAAACAGATGGAGCTCGGGAGCAACCCCCGTTTGAGAATCATGGAATCCTGGATTGGCTTGCAAGGGACCTCAAAGCTCATCTAAAGCCATGGGACACCTGCTAGAGCAGGCTGCTCCAACCTGGCCTTGGATCCTGCCAGGGATGGCAACTCCATTCAACCCATCCCAGGGTCCCACTGCCCTTAGCTTCCCAGTATTCCCTCTAACTCTTCCCTCTTCCTCTTGGAAGCTGTTCCTCCTCATCCCATCCCTCCATCCCTTCTCACGTGAATGTTCCACCATAGTGCCTTCAGTCTCCACAGCAAGAAGTCCAAACCCACCCCAAACCATTCCCTTTACTTTGGCATTCCCTGTCTTCTGCCCCTTTTCCATAGCTTTGGAGAGGAGAAACCAGGGCTGGAACTACCTGGAATCCTCAGTGACCTCCTCGATGAAGCCAGACTCGCACCGTGGGCATGTGTATTCCTGGAAGGACAGAGGAAGCTGGGATTAGCCACCAAGGCTGGGAATTCAGCTCCTAAACTTCCACACCAAAAAGCCACCGTGGCTTCCTGCTGCCTCCCTGTGCCTGGAAAGCCCAAAAGCAGCTGGAGGACAGGGATCCTGAAGTTCCTCCTGGTTCCTCAAACCAGGAATAAAGTTCCTGGGAAAAGTCTCCTCATGTGGAACCAAACCCCAAAGGCCCCAGTGAGCTTCCAGCCCTTGGGATCCATCCTGCAGCTTTGGGTGGGATCTGGGGGCTCTACTGCATGAAGACCCATCAAACCCCATCAGAGCCCCGTCAAACCCCATCAGAGCCCCGTCAAACCCCACCAGAGCCCCGTCAAACCCCACCAGAGCCCCATCAAACCTCACCAGAGCCCCATCAACCCCACCAGAGCCCCATCAAACCCACCAGAGCCCCATCAAACCCCACCAGAGCCCCATCAAACCCCACCAGAGCCCCATCAAACCCCATCAGAGCCCCATCAAACCCCACCAAGACCCAACAGAGACCCAAGAGATCCCCATCAAACTCCAACAGAACCCAGTAAACCCCATCAAGACGCAAGACATACCCATAAAACCCCATCAAAGCCCTATAGAAACCTATCAAAGCCCTACAGAGACCCATCAAGCCCCACCAAACCCCAACAAAGAGCCACCAAAGCCCATTAAGACTCACCAAACCCCAACAAAGGGCCACCAAAGCCCATTAAGACCCATCAAGCTCCAACAAAGAGGCACCAAAGCCCATCAAGACGCCCCAGGCACTGTCTCTGCCCCCTCTCTGGAGATCCAAGCCCCCGCAGCAGCAGCAGGGCCTTGGGGGCACCCACTGCACCCCCACCAAACCCGGCTGGGCCCAGCAGGAGCCCAAAGAGCAGCGATTCCATGGCTGGGGCACGAAGGAGCCCACAGAGGGGGGGTCACAGCCCAGACCGGGGCCATCTGCACGAGAGCCACCAAGAGCCCATCCCTAGGGAATCCCAGGTGGGTCCCGAGGAGGGGGAGGGCGGACAGGAGGAGGGGAAGGAGAAGGGAAGAGGCTGGGGTCACCCTGGGGGGGGTACCGAGCCCCCTGCCTGCTCCCCGCAGCAATCCCAGAGGGATCGCACCCTACACACGTCAGGAGGGGAGTGAGGGGGTCTCTGCTGGCTCGGGAGCGGGGGGGTTTGGGGTTCAGGGACAACATGGAGCGGGATACCCCAGGATACCGGGACACGGGAGGGGGGCGGCGCTCAGGGGGAGCCGCTTAGGCCCAGGCCCGGGCCCGGCCGCACGCGGGAGCACGGCGGGGCCGAGGCCGCGCTGCCCCCCGGGCCGAGCCCGGCGCTTACCGGTAGCTTGGGGCTGACCTCGCCCTTGCAGCTGTGGCAGAAGAAGCGGTGCTGGGGCACGGCGGCCGCTGAGGCCTCCGCCATCTTCTCGCTCCTGCCGTCAGTCCTCCGCCGGGCCAGCGAGGCGGCGCTCCGCAGGGAGAGAGCGGCGGCGCCGGCACGAGACCACCCCCCCCCCCCCCCCCGCGCTAGCCACTCACTTCCGGTCGCCTCGTCTGCTCCAGGGCAGAGAGTCCGGAGCGGAGCAAGGGGAGGGCGCGGGATAGAGCGGCGCCGGAAGTGGCAGGCGGGGAGCCGGAAGTGGCGGTTGCCATGGCGGCAGGAGCCGGGTGAGTGAGGGCGGGCCCGGTGTGGCGGGGGGGATGCGGGGCCACATTCCCGGCATTTGCCCTGCTCCCAGCGCCACCGAGGGCGTTTGAGGCGCCGCGGGGATGACCCAGGCGGAGCTGAAGCTCTGCTCCCTGCTGCTGCGGGAGTACTTCGGGGACATCGTGGAGACGATCGGCACGTTCCTCATTCGGAGCGGGCCGCAGCCGCTGCGCCTCATTGCGGCCGACACCGGGCTGCTGTTGGACCAGGTGCGGTGGGAGACAGCCCCTGCCCTATGGCCGGTGCCCCCTCCCTGCTCCATCCCTGCCCAATGCCCCCTCCCTGCCCCATCCCTGCCCAATGCCCCATCCCTGCTCTATGCCCCATCCCTGCCCCATCCCTGCCCAATGCCCCATCCCTGCTCCATCCCTGCCCAATACCCCATCCCTGCTCTATGCCCCATCCCTGCCCAATGCCCCATCCCTGTGCCCCAGCAACCTATCCCCCCTGCCCCAGTGCAGCTTGAGGCCGTTCCTCTCGTCCCATCCCTTGTTCCTTTGTGCCCAGTGCCAGCACATCATGGAGCAGTGGCCATGAACTAGCAGCCACCAAGCGCCACCTCACCATGAGGAAGAACTCGGTGCTGAGGGTGGCAGAGCCCTGGCCCAGGCTGCCCAAGGGGTGCTGGAGGCTCCATCCCAAAGCCCCATGGACACACTCTGGGTGGCCCCGGCTGGGGACTGGTGTGCGGGGATGTGGTGGTGCCCCAGGGAGCTGGGAGCCTGTGGTGCCACAGAGCCTCCTTGCAGGTGAAGAAGGCGCTCTGTGTGCTCATCCAGCACAACCTGGTGGGTTACCAGGTGCAGAAGCGGGGCCTGGTGGAGTATGAGGCACGGTGCCAGCGCGTGCTGCGCATCCTGCGCTACCCCCGCTACATCTACACCGCCAAGAGCCTCTATGGGGACACGGGCGAGCTCCTGGTGGAGGAGCTGCTCCTCAACGGGCACATGAGCATGAGCGCCCTTGTGAGGAAGGTGGCGGACAGGCTCACCGAGACCATGGAAGGTGGGAAGCTCCGCAGGGAGCAGGGGGCAGGATGGTGGCGCTGGGGATGTGCAAAAGGAGCTGCCCAAAGTGGGCTTGGGGAAGGGACACCTTCGACTGGTGCCTTGGACACTGCCAGCTCCTCCATTCAACCCATTCCAGTGTCCCACCACCCTCACAAGGAGGAACTTCATCCCAATATCCCATCCCAATCTCCCCTCTGGCAGGTTAATACCATTCCCCCTTGTCCCATCCCTCCAATCCCTTGTTCAAAGCCCCTCTCCAAGGTTTCTTGTAGCCCCTTTTGATTGGAATCAGGATCTTAGACTGACTTGGGTTGGAAGGAACCTCAAACCTCATCCAATCCAACCCCTGGCAATGATCAGAGACATCTTCAATAAACCCCATGGGAATGTTGCCCCCCCCAGTCCCAAACCACCCTCAGAGCATTCCTGACCCCCAGCATCCCCTCACCCTTTGGAGCCACAGGCACCACCCTGAAGCCACCATCCCTCTCCCTGTGGATCAGATGGGAAAACCATGGATTACAGTGAGGTGGCCAACACCTTCGTGCGCCTGGCAGACACTCACTTTGTGCAGAGGTGTCCTCTGGTCCCTGAGGGCCTCGACACCCCCACGGTGCCACCTCCTCCTGCGCCCACCTTGGTGCTCAACGAGAAGGACATGTACGTGGTGCCCAGGCTCAACCTCGTAGGTGAGACGCCCCTCGGTCATGTTCTGCTGCCCTGATCCCACAGGGATGGGTTGGAAAGAGCCAACTCCAGCTTCTCTGACAGGGAAAGGGAAGCGGAGACGCTCGTGTGAGGAGGAGGATGGGGAGCACCAGGCTAAGAAGCAGAAACAGGATGGAGAAAGCACTGAGGTACCCAGGACATGGAGCAATGTCATCTACAGGGCATAAAGCATTCCCTCCATTCCATCCCTCCTTCCCCCGCATTCCATCCCTTTTTCCCTGTTCCCAGCCTCCTCCTGACGACGGCATCTACTGGCAAGTCAACATTGACCGCTTCCACCAGCACTTCCGGGACCAGGCCATCGTCAGCGCCATAGCCAACCGCATGGATCAGGTCTATGGAATCCCTTGGATCGTTCTGCCCTTCCTCTCCTCCTGCTTGTGGTCATAGTGGGGATGTTCTAACCCTGCTCCACCTCCAAGCAGGCTCATGATGGTTGTAACTGGAATGACCTCCAAGTCCTTTCCAACCCAGCCCATTCCGTGGTGGGTTCCTGCTGCAGGAATTGCTCAGAACTGAGGTTTTCCCACTGTTTTCTTCTGTTCCCAAATCCAGACCAGCAGCGAGATTGTGCGGACGATGCTGAGGATGAGCGAGGTGACCACGTCTTCCAATGCACCCTACACGCAGCCGCTCTCTTCCAACGAGGTCAGTTCCTGCTTCCGGTTTGGGGTCCAGCAGGAAAGCACCTGGAGCCTTGGAAGAGCTCCATTTTACCCCTCTTTATGTTCTCCTTGTAGATATTCAGGTCTCTCCCCGCCGGATACAACATTGGGAAGCAGGTTTTGGACCAGTATCTCACCCTGTTGGCAGATGACCCGGTGAGGAAACGTGCTCATGGTTCCTGTCCTAGTGCTGGAGCTCTGGGGGGGTTATGAGCCTGCCCCATGTTCTGGGGGCATCTGGGGCTGAGGGAAAACCACTTTCCTATTGGATTTCATGGAATCATGGAATGGTTTGGGTTGGAATTGACCTTAATGCTCATCTAAAGCCATGGGCAGGGACTGGAGCAGGTTGCTCCAACCTGGCCTTGAATACTGCCAGGGGTGGGGCACCCACAGCTTCTCCATTCAGCCCATTCCAGTGTCCCACCACCCTCACAGGGAAGAACTTTCTCCTGGTATCCCACCTAAACCTTCCCTGTTTGAGGTTGATCCCGTTCCCCCCTTGTCATGGATGAAGGTCCCTCTCCAGCTTCTCCCTCTTCCCTTGCAGCTGGAGTTCGTGGGGAAGGCAAGGGACAGCGGCGGGGGCATGTTCACTGTCAGTATCCTTTGGGAAGCAAGAGCCTGACCCCCTCCCCATTCCCAGCACGTGAAACATTCCTAAGAGCTGCCATTATCCCTTGACCTTCACCTTGCACCGATCTCCACAAGGCCCTGGCGTCCCTGGCCACCGCCACCTTGGAGTCCATCGTGGAGGAGAGGTGAGGTGGCCACTTGGGGCCTTCATGGGCTCGTTCTTGACCCTTTCTCCTGCCTCCTAAGGTGTTCCCCTCGTGGCTCAGGTTCGGCTCCCGCTGTGCCCGGATCTTCCGGTTGCTCCTGCGCAAAAAGCACCTGGAGCAGAAGCAAGTGGAGGATTTTGCCATGATCCCAGCCAAGGAAGCCAAGGACATGCTCTACAGAATGCTCTCAGAGAACCTGGTGGCCCTGCAGGTGAGGGTGGAGGGGATGGAGGCCAATGGAGCTCCAAGGTGGCCCCACGCGGGAGCGGGACATCGCTGGCTCCACCACCACCACCACGATACAGGCTCCTCACAGTGCAGCCATTGGGTTGTGATGGACACAAGCCCCATAGAGCACTTCCCCCTTCTCTTGGTAGGAGATTCCCAAAACTCCTGACCATGCTCCCTCCCGCACCTTCTACCTGTACACCGTGAATGTGCCGGCTGCAGCGCGCATGCTGCTGCACCGCTGCTACAAGGTATGGACACCAACATGTGCTTCACCACCACCACCATGCACGGGGGTTCTCTTCTATCACCACAGTATGTGTGGTTCTCCTCCACCACTACATGTGTCTCCACCACCACCCCATGAGCAAAGGTGCCTGTTTGCACACCCGTGTCCCCTCATCCTGGGGACCCCATGGCTGGGTGCAACCACCTTGTCACCCCTCATCAGACCAGAGGCTCATCCGTTCCCATTCCCCCTTCCCAGAGCGTGGCCAACCTCATGGAGCGCCGCCAGTACGAGAGCAGGGAGAACAAGTGAGTCCCCAAAGCCACCGCGTCCCTGTCCCTGTGTCCGGGTGCAGGGCCCCCAAAGCCACCGTGTCCGTGTCCCGTGTCCCCTGCAGGCGGCTGCTGGAGAAGTCACAGCGGGTGGAGGCCATCCTGGCCTCGCTGCAGGCCACAGGCGCGGGGGACACGCAGCTGCAGGACATCGAGGAGATGATTACGGGCCCCGAGCGCCACCAGCTCGACACGCTCAAGCGCAACGTCAACAAGTGAGGGGCGGGATGGGGAGGTCCCTGTGTCCCCCCCCGTGTCCCTCTGCATCCCCCATGTGTCTCCCCATGTCCCCAGGCTGGACGCCAGCGAGACGCAGGTGGACGAGACCATCTTCGTGCTGGAGTCGTTCATCGAGAGCACCGTGAGGCGGCCCTGAGGGGACAATAAAGGGACAGAGCCAAGGAACAAGCGTGGCCTTGGGGGTGCAAGGGTGGGGGTGTCCCTTATGGTGCCATTGAGGTGGTGCTGTGCTGAGCAGATCCTTGTTGGAATGGGACAGGAGCCTGGGCTGGGCATGGAATGAGGAACTCAATAAGGAATGCTGGTGGGACCCAGAGCAGCAGCACTGGGAGCCAGCACCTCTGGCTGCAGGGAGAGCAGAACATCATCCACACACCCATCCAATCCATCCATCCATCCCCACATCCCCACCCAGAGGCATCCAGGAGCCACTTCCTGACGTTCCCAACTCTTCCCACCACGACAGATGGGGTCCTGCTGCACAGCACCAGCTCCCAATGGATTTAATACCTTTATTGCATGGAAGCACCCACAGCACCTGGGCTACAAGGCCTCATCCCAGTGGAATCCTGCTCCCTGCTGCCCCAGCCCCAAAACATCCCACTTGGAATTCCAGGAGCCACAACTCCCATTCAGTCCATAGATAACCTGGGCAACATCACCACCTTCAGTTATCCCTATGTCCATAGGGAAAACAGGGGAAAACTTGGGAACTATCCATGCAACTGGAATTACAGATTCTGTGTGTGTTCCCTGACCAGCTCCAAGCTGGAAGGAGGTAAAAAAAAGTGGAAAAAGGCAGGTTTGGCTTTTAAGAATCCACGGGAATTGCACTGGAGGGATGGGGCACCCAGGCTCTGGCTTCATCCCAGCCTTTCCCATTGGCTTCTTCCCTTAAAAAGGAGGATTTCTTCCCAGCTGGAATTCTGCTCTTGGAATTCTTGGATTCTGTATTGGAATTCTTGGAGTTCTATAGAGTAATCCCATGGGATAGAACCAGGTTGAAGATGCTGCTTCCAAAGTCAGGGGGGTTGGTTTAACCCTTGGGAAGAGGCACTTCCCAACCCCCCATCCCAATCCCAGTGGATACAGAGTTCACCAGCACAAGGGGTGGGAATTGCCCAACGCAGTGGTCAGGTCCCACCTGGAGAAGCCAATCCCTAAAGCCCGGACTCGGCCTTGTGTCCCATCTATTCCCAGCGGGAATGCTGCTCAATCCAGGGCGATGATGTCAGATCTGCATCCCGGCTGTGCTGTGGGGCTGCTCTGGAGTGTGGTGGTGGCCACGATGCTACTGGTCTGATGGGATCCGGCCATGGACATGGGGGTGACACCAAGGAAAGGCCTGGAAGTGCCTCCATATGGGAAGAGATGGCCAAGGGCATCCTGCTCCTGCAGGGAGGTGATGACTGAAGGGCTGTAATGCTGCCAAGCAATGGGAATACCTCAGTCAGCTCCTGGTACCCATAAAACCCCATCCAAGAGGATGGAGCCATCCCAGAGCTTCCCAAAGCCACCACCCAAATGTACCTGGTTTTCACTTGGAAGGAAGGAAAACAACTCCAGACCTAGAACAGGAAAAAAGGGGAATAAACATCCAGTGGGGAGGGGATTCTAATGGGTCCAGCCCCCTTTCTCAATGAGATCCCAGCATCCTGACAGCTCCCCAAAGCTGGAAGGGCTTTGGATAAGGGACGGAGGGATGGAACAAGGGGGAATGGCTTTAACCTGCCAGAGGGGAGACCAAGATGGGATCTTGGGAAGTTATTCCATCCACCTACCCACTCTGGCTGTGCTGACTGGTACCTTCAGACAGAGGGACCTGTTGTTACCTGCAAGCTCCGAGTAGGAAGGGTGGAAGTCAGGAACGGGGAGGTTGGAGACATAGTCACTGCCCAGGGCTGCCATGGGAGCACTCCGGAGCACAGAGGAGGGCCGGGGGTGGATGCTCAGCACCCTGGAACACAGCAGGGACACGAGGAGCATCACTGGGAGCAGCCTGGGAAGATCCAGGAGCTGCCCCCTGAGGTGCCACATCCCAGCACAGGACACCCGGAGCACAGGGGGTGCTTCCTGAGAGCTGTGTGTGGGGAGGGGAAGGAGCAGGGAATGAGCAGGAAGTGAGCTGGGAATGAGCAGGAAGGATGCAAGCCGGGGCCGGACCCCGCCTCACCCCTTGTGCCCGGGGGCGCTGCTGAGCGGCCGCTGCCTCTTGGCCGCCGGTGCCTCCTCCTCGTCGGACGAGTCCCGGGTCAGGTCGATCACCTCTGCCCGGGGCCCGGCGCCTACAGCGGGAGCGGCTGCAAGGGAAGAGCCGGCGTCAGCCCCGGAGCCCCGCGGCTTCCGGAGCGCAGGTCCCAGAGCCCACCAATGCCAAGGGGAAGCAGCAGCTTTCCTGCTGTTCCTAGCACAGGGCCTCTCGTGCTCCTGGTGGTTTCAGCTCAATCCCAAACTCCAGCTCCAGCCCGGGCTGGGGGATGCTCTGAGTGTTGCTTTGCAAGTTGGAATTCCAAGCGTTTTGGCATCCCAGCCAAAGGACTGGTGAGGAAAGAGCTTCCATACCCTCAATGCCACTGAACACAGAGGTCTGGCCCATGTCCTGCTTCTCCAGCTTCATGGGGCACCAGGAGCCATCCTCCATGAACTGGATCTCATCACAGTCTGTGCAGGAGTTGAGGATTTCCACGAACAACCTGCCAGGAGAGAGCACAAACACTCCATGGAATCCTGCAGGAATGAGACAAGGGGAATGGCTTTAACCTGCCAGTGCCTGCCCCATCCCTGGTAGTGTTCAAGGCTGGGCTGGATGGGGCTTGGAGCAACCTGCTCTAGTGGAAGGTGTCCCATGGCTTTCAATGAGCTTTAACTTCCCACCCAAACATTCCAGGATTCCATGATTCTGGAGCAGAACTGATGGAGCTCAGGAGCTGGGCTCAAGGGGTGCAAAGAATTAACCCCCTGGGCCAGCATCACCTGCACGTTTAGCTTTAGGATATACAATGCTTGTGACAAAGGCTTCTTGTTCTTTGGGAGAAACCTCTCCAGACTGGATCAGTTTAGGGAATGGAGTCACATCCCATGTTATTCCAGGCTGTAAGCTGTGTCAGGATGGCAGAGATAAGCCTTAGAAGAAAGCCATGACCCTGCGTAAGGAGCCCTCAAGCTCACCCATCGATGATCAGGTCGTCGTATGGGGCTTTCTGGTCACACACAGGACAGGTCCACGTGGGCTTCTTCTCGTTCATCTGCAGGTAGAGGGCTGCATCGAAGCACTGCAGGTGGCTGCACGTGGTGGCTCTACAGGGCACCCTCAGCCTCATCTTACCCAGCTGAGGGACAAGAGACAGGAGCTCAGGGGGATTTATCCAGCCTCTTTCCAGGGCTAATTCCCATCTTGCCCCTGCCCAGCGCATTGACCTGAGCTCAGTGTCCAAGAGGAGTTAATGGGGGAGAGAAAAGCTTTCCCTGAGGAACTGGTGCCCTTTGGTTTGCTTTTGAAGCTCATTCCACATGCTAAGAGTGAAGGGGAAAGGCAGGGAGAGGCTCCCCAGGAGGCTGTGTGAAAGAGCAGCAGGCTTGCTTGCCTTTGGGCCTCAAAGCTGGCTCCTTTGCTACCAAAGCAGGGCTGCAGCAGCACCTACACAGTGGTTAAGGTCAAAGCAGGAAGCTCTTTGCGAAGGCCCAGCCAAGAGAAGAGGAACATAAATGTAGAGACCTACTGGACACAGCAGGGACACGTGTAAGCTGGTTGTAGCTATCTCACTGTCGGGGTCAGCAGTTAGCTTTTCCTTGACTGCAAGAAGAGGAGGGGAGAGAAGGGTCTCCTGTCATCATCCTCCTTCTTGGACACGCAGCGACATGTACACACGGGATGGAGCGTTCCACATCACCCTGAGGTGCTGGCACAGGGTGGCCAGGGAAGCTGTGGATGCCCCATCCCAAGGCCACAAGGTTGGACGGGGCTTGGAGCAACCTGCTCTAGTGGAAGGTGGCTTTAGATAAGCTTTCACATCCCTTCCAACCCAAATTCCATGGGGATTCCATGATACCACCACGTGTTAGTTGGATGAGTAAACCCAGTGTAACACCCATGTGGGCCAGGCAGGCAGAATTCCCAAGCCAGGCTGTCAAGCGAATCCCATCGACCAGCTGGGAAAAGGCTGGGAAAACCCAAGAGGGACTTACTGAGGGCTCGGGAATGATCTGGGTTTCGGATGCCCTTGGCCCGGAGCTTCTGCAGCAGCGCCACGGCCGTCAGCTGCTTCACCAGGTACACAGACAGCGAGTAACTCTGTTGGAGAGAGCCCCGCTCAGGAGAGGGCTCGGTGCCTCTGCCAGCCCATCCCTACGGAACGCAGAGGGATGGAGCAGCAGCTCCCATCCCACTCACCCGGCCCAGCTCTGAGGACCAGTTGACCACGAGGCTGTTGGGGACGGTGGCCGAGAGCCGCGCCAGGGGCGTGATGTTGACCGGGCGGTTGGGCCGCTTGGGCTCAGTACCGCTCTTGCTGGGGGGGAGGTAACCCTGTGGGGCAGAGAACCTTGACTGAACCCTTCCCAAGGTGTAAAGGCCACCAATGGGCGCCTCCAACCCCCTAGAATGGGTTGTGAAGGAGCTTAAGATCATCCGGTTCCATGGGCAGGGACAGCTCCTACTAGAGCACATTGCTCCATGCAGCATTCTCTTCTCCATTCCCAGTGTTCTCAGCCCGGCTCCTGGGAGCTACTCCAGCCCCTGCTCATCCTCGTGGCCTCCCCTGGACTCTCTCCAACAGCTCTGTGTCCTCCTTGTGTTGAGGGCACCAGAGCTGCACCCAGTGAGGCCATAAAGCCACCTATGGGAGTCTCCAGCCCTCATTCCATCCCTCAGGATGTATTTCAAGTCATGCTTTAGAGCTTGTCTGGGAATTGCTCTACAGATCCCAAAGCAGTTAGTCCTTGTTATTCATTCCTAATGGGGTATTAGGATTGTGGATGCTCCATCCCTGGAGCCCACAGGGTGCCTGGAGAAGCTGTGGCTGCCCCATCCCAAGACCAGCTTGGAGGGGACTTGGACCAACCTGGTTTAGCGTAAAGCATCCCTGCCCATGATGGATGATCTTAAGGTCCTTTCCAACCTAAACCGTTTTAGGATCCCCTTATTGCTCAAGGAATGAGGGATAAATGGT